CGAAAACTACAAGGAATTGAGCAATCATATTTGGAGGCAAGACTCGTAATATTTGAGAGTACTCTGACAGCACCCAACTATAAGGCTGGGAAATTCAAATTTTGAGAAACAATTCATAAAATTTTCTAAAAATTTTTGAAAAAATCTCAAAAAACATCATATCTCGAAAACTACAAGGATTTGAGCAGTCATATTTGGAGGCAAGACTCGTAATATTTGAGAGTACTCTGACAGCACCCAACTACAAGGCTGGGAATTTCACAATTTTAGAGAAAAAAAATTAATATAAGTTTCTAAATTTTTTTTTTGAAAAAATCACAAAAAACGTCATATCTCGAAAAGTACAAGTATTTGAACAGTCATATTTGGAGGCAAGATTTGTAACTCTTTAGAGTACTCTGACAGCACCCAACTATAAGGCTGGGAAATTCAAATTCTGAGAAACAATTAAAAAAATTTTCTGAAAATTTTTGAAAAAATCTCAAAAAACATCATATCTCGAAAACTACAAGGATTTGAGCAGTCATATTTGGAGGCAAGATTTGCAACTCTTTAGAGTACCCTGACAGCACCGAACTATAGCGTTGGGAATTTCAAATTTTGAAAAATAATAAATTTAAACTTTCTGAAAATTTTTGAAAAAATCACAAAAAACGCCATATCTCAAAAACTACAAGGAAATGAGCAGTCATATTTGGAGGCAAGACTCGTAATATTTGAGAGTACTCTGACAGGACACAACTACAGGGTTGGGAATTTCAGATTTTGTGAAAAAAAATTAATACGTTTTCTAAAAAAATTTTGAAAAAATCACAAAAAACGTCATATCTCGAAAACTACAAGGATTTGAACAGTCATATTTGGAGGCAAGATTTGTAACTCCTTAGAGTACCCTGACAGCACCGAACTATAGCGTTGGGAATTTCAAATTCTGAAAAAAAATAAATTTGAACTTTCTGAATCACAAAAAACGCCATATCTCGAAAACTACAAGGAATTGAGCAGTCATATTTGGAGGCAAGATTTGCAACTCTTTAGAGTACCCTGACAGCACCGAACTATAGCGTTGGGAATTTCAAATTTTGAAAAATAATAAATTTAAACTTTCTGAAAATTTTTGAAAAAATCACAAAAAACGCCATATCTCAAAAACTACAAGGAAATGAGCAGTCATATTTGGAGGCAAGACTCGTAATATTTGAGAGTACTCTGACAGGACACAACTACAGGGTTGGGAATTTCAGATTTTGTGAAAAAAAATTAATACGTTTTCTAAAAAAATTTTGAAAAAATCACAAAAAACGTCATATCTCGAAAACTACAAGGATTTGAACAGTCATATTTGGAGGCAAGATTTGTAACTCCTTAGAGTACCCTGACAGCACCGAACTATAGCGTTGGGAATTTCAAATTTTGAAACATAATAAATTTGAACTTTCTGAAAATTTTTGAAAAAATCACAAAAAACGCCATATCTCGAAAACTACAAGGAATTGAGCAATCATATTTGGACGCAAGACTCGTAATATTTGAGAGTACTCTGACAGCACCCAACTACAAGGCTGTGAAACTTCAAAATTTTAGAGAAAAATAATTAATTTAAGTTTCTAAATTTTTTTTTGAAAAAATCACAAAAAACGTCATATCTCGAAAAGTACAAGGAAATGAGCAGTCATATTTGGAGGCAAGACTCGTAATATTTGAGAGTACTCTGACAGGACACAACTACAGGGTTGGGAATTTCAGATTTTGTGAAAAAAAATTAATAAGTTTTCTAAAAAAATTTTGAAAAAAATCATAAAAAACATATCTCGAAAACTACAAGGATTTGAACAGTCATATTTGGAGGCAAGATTTGTAACTCCTTAGAGTACTCTGACAGCACCCAACTATAAGGCTGGGAAATTCAAATTTTGAGAAACAATAAATTTGAACTTTCTGAAAATTTTTGAAAAAATCACAAAAAACGCCATATCTCGAAAACTACAAGGAATTGAACAGTCATATTTGGAGGCAAGATTTGTAACTCCTTAGAGTACTCTGACAGCACCCAACTATAAGGCTGGGAAATTCAAATTTTGAGAAACAATTCATAAAATTTTCTGGAAATTTTTGAAAAAATCTCAAAAAACATCATATCTCGAAAACTACAAGGATTTGAGCAGTCATATTTGGAGGCAAGATTTGCAAATCTTTAGAGTACCCTGACAGCACCGAGCTATAGCGTTGGGAATTTCAAATTTTGAAAAATAATAAATTTGAACTTTCTGAAAATTTTTGAAAAAATCACAAAAAACGTCATATCTCGAAAACTACAAGGATTTGAACAGTCAGATTTGGAGGCAAGATTTGTAACTCCTTAGAGTACTCTGACAGCACCCAACTACAAAGCTGGGAATTTCAAATTTGGAAAAACAATAAATTAAAATTTTCTGAAAATTTTTGAAAAAATCTCAAAAAACATCATATCTCGAAAACTACAAGGATTTGAGCAGTCATATTTGGAGGCAAGATTCGCAATCCTTGAGAGTACTCTGGCAGGACCTAACTACAGGGAGGGTTGGGAATTTCAGATTTTTAAAAATTAATAATAATTGAGAACAGGATATGAACAGAATTTAAGAAAAATCAAAAGTCAAACCGCAATCAAGCGTGAACAAATTTTAAGATTTTTCCTCAAAAAAAGGAAAGAAAAAAACGACCTATATGAGAGCCTGAACTACGTTCAGCGACTCATAATCACAAGTACAATATTTTTATAAAAAGGAACTGAATGCGTCAATGGCTTCGAGATGGTAAAGCCGAAACTTGTCTAAAGAAAAAACACTGAGCACAAATATTCCATCCTTATATGACATCAAACTACGTAAAAACAAAAAAATCAACTGAAGTTGCACTCCAGAAACACGAGCAAAACTAAAAAGGAAACAAAAGATAATCAATGACCTGCTCCAAAAATGATCCAAGCAAATAATTCTAATTTTGAGCATAGGACATCAATATATTTCGGATGGTATCGAAATTACTATAGCCTGTATTAATGTCCTCAACATCGCTGTAATTTAGCAGATTATATGCATATATTATCAATCGTCGAGAAGCACGATCGCCAGCATTAAATAAGTAGAGATAAAATTATACGAGCGTTTACTGAACAGACAAATCTTGAATAGATGCCCGTTTATTGTAAGCAATTACAAACGGAAACTTTTAAGCACAAGCGTTAAAATTTTAGAAGTCAGTCAACTGTACTATTACAAAGGCTAGATGTGGTATTCTCCAAAAAGGCGAAGCTGAGCTTCGCTCCACTTGCGATACAAATATGGATGACAGCTATTAAAATTTAAATAAAAAAATTGGAAAAAGCTTAAAAAATTCGTGGTTTTCAATAAAAATTTGCAACAAAAGCACAAGATCTGGAAAAAAATGCCTGCATCATGAGAAAATTTACAAAGACTTTTCGGAATGCTAGAAAGAAAAGTAATTTTTTTGAAAAAAAAAAAACATTTTTGCGGAACAAAGCCAACAAAAATAAGCAAACCGACAATGATATCTAAATTAACCGAAAACTTTCTCTTTACAAAAAAAACAGGTTTGGACTGAAATCGAACTTCCGGGCACTGTCGTCTTAAGCATGGTGGTTAAAGCAACTCGGAAGAAAACTGATAGCCCGAAAATCTGTTTTTATTTTCGGACAATAGTCCGAAAAAATAGGTCCCGGCAGGTTTCGAGCCGCAACTCCTTGCGGTCTCAAGCAATTGGGTTACCTCTACGCAAGATAGTTGATTGAATTTGAACTTATAATAACCAAGCGGAAGCAAAGCCGAAAATATCTGAGCAGAAATCTTTCACAACAAAAAGAATTCACAATAAATTCTAAACTAATAAAAAAATTACTTTCTTTTTCTTCTCAGAACACACGCACGCACGCAAAAATTTTTTCATTCCAAAACGAAGCAACAGGAGCCCACTAGGTCGATATAAATTAAACCGAAACTTATTAAGCCGCTAAGCCAAAAAATGAAAAAAAAATGAAATTTTTACATATCGAGATAGTAAACTTACAACCAATGTAAAAAAAAACATGTTTCGATTCGGCCGGACTTTTCAAACGCTTAAATACTTACAGCAACTGCAGTGAAAAAGTTTATCAGCAAAAAAAACGATTCCTAGATGTGGCAACTGAGCCGAAAAACCATAAGCAGACAAATAATTGGCCAAATTTTTTTGAACCGGAATATTCGAACCCCTGTCAGATTCGAGCCCAGGACTAGTGCCCCTCAGGCGTATTCATTACCTCCAGGCTAAGTATGCATGATACACTATGAAATTTGATATCATTATGAATCAAGGTACCACCAGAAGTCCAGATGAGTACAGTTCAGAAGTCATACCGCAAAAAGTATATTTCAGCCTGAATAAATTTTCGAATCCGATTTCCTGTAAAGAAAACGAAAAAAATATATATTCACTACCTATATAAGAGTCTTAACTACGTTCATCGGCTTGGTAAAAAAAAACCGGCTTGGTCTCGGATTCGAACGTTTGCTGATTCTCGACATTCACTATATTCAAGTTTGATAACGCTTGCTAATCAAAAGCGTAAAAATAGAAAACCTCGAAGAAAAAGGCTGCCTGTGCAAACTAAGCCGGCAAAAAGTAAGCAGACACACATAATATTAAGATTTTTATAAAGCAGAAAACTTGCAGTTGGCAAAAAATTCAAGTACATGGAGTGACTCGAATGCAAGGACTATGTCACGTCTAGAATGACCGTCTGCAAATAATTCGCTGAATCTGTTAGACATTTTGTTTGCCTCAAAATCTGATTTGACAATACTTGCTTATCGCAATCGTTAACATACGTAAAACTGAAATTAATAGAACTACTTTTGCACATCGAGGTTTTTAACATCATTCAATTGTTCATAAAAAAAGCACGTTTCAAAAAGTTTTAAAGCATTTATTTCACTCGTTTATCAGTGAAAGCGATCACCAACCTTGTCGACTTTCTCCAGAACACTGTCATCCTTGTGGAACGCTGGTTTGACTTGATAATCTGTCCCTTTAATATTGACCACTCTATTAGTTTCTGTCCACATGCGGGTCAACCCCTCCGGACGCTTGTACCCAATAAATCCCATTATATGTGTCTTTCCTGGTTTCGGTTGGGTCACGTATGTATACTTAAGTTCTCCAAATTTTGAGAAGATATCTTGAATGTCTTCTTTTGTGACCTCTGGTTCCAAGTATACCATCGCTTGCTTATCCGAGAATCCAGTCGAATTTGGTCTTGGCGCCCGACCACTTTGGTTCTGTTGCCCATTTGGGACAATGGTTACACTGGAACCCGTCATCGAGGAGTTTCCACCTAGACTGTCATTCGACTGTTGTGGACCCTGTCTGATCATACTTGACACCGGTCTAGTTCTGCTCCCTCCTGGTCCATATCCACTGATATAGTTTTGTTGTTGGGGTTGTTTTGGAACTTGAGGTGAAACATTGTTGAAGTTTGGTCGACTAGGAAGGATCTGAGAGTTGTTTGATTGCGGATGGGGTTTGTTTGCAGTTCTGGTAGCTTGATTCCTAAAAATTTAAAGCAAGTTTTCGGCTAAACAGAGTGAAAACTAAACATCATGAACTTGGCCAAAGATGAACTGATAACTAAATGGTTCAACAAAAATTAATGAAAAACAAAGCACATTTTTTTTAATTTCAATTTTCAAAATCAATTACGTCGTCTTAAAGCGCGTTTAAAAAGCGATTGCTCTCACTATTTCAACTTCGTTCTCGGGAAATTCAATTAACTACCTAACCACTAATTTAAAATACCGTGCATAAACGTTCAGACACACCACCGTACTTGAAATATCTCACTTAGCTCAGAAACACAGAATGCCTAATTGCAACTCCGACAAAAGATTAGGGAATTAATAAATACTGGAACTGGCACCCAGCAAAAACAGCGATCCCTTGTAAATAAAAGGCTTATTCAATTAGAAAACTGCTCTACAAGAATAGCCAACAGACTGTTAGAAAAGAGTAAAAAAACGCAAAACAAAAAAACCGACCTAATTTTGAAAAAAAACTTCAGTTTTCAAATTTCAAAAAAAGTATGGCCTTAATTCTCTTGAAATTTCAAGAAGAATTCAAGATTTTTTCGTCAAATTATTTCTATGTGAGAAAAAGTGATTAACAGGTAAAACTTTTATTCCGCTGTGAAATCTCAAAAGTAGAATTCCACTTTCAAAACTAAAATTCGTTCACGTTTTTTCGCACTATTTCTAAGCTAGTGTTCGGAGAGTACAACTTACCTAACTTAACGCAAATGAATTGAATGCAAAAAGTGCATATAAATCTAAGCGCATTCGTAAATGCATAAATACACTTGCAATACAACATAAACAAAAAAACATAAGTCGAAAAAAAGTATACGTTGAAAAAACTATGTGAACCAAAATTTTCGTATGTCTAGATAAAAACAATTGTCTTTTAGAGAAGTCGCTTAAGCAAATGAGCTTCCAGCAACCCATTGTTTGAATTCTCAAATATGGTAGGGTAATTTCCGAAAATATTCTAAAAGTTTAAGAAACGGTGACAAAATCAAAATTTTGACTTTTCCGAGGGCCATAACTTTATGTGTAAAAAAATGTAGCCGCTCATGCGAGGAGTTTTTCGAAACTGTTGTATTCATTCAAACCAAAAACTCAGGTTTGAGGTGTATTTTTCGAAAAAACAAAAAAAATTAAAAATATGGTTCAAATGTTCCACCACAGACTTTTTCGAAGGCTGTAGACAGAGGGGTCAAGTAAAAAGACGTAAGAGTTCATAAAGGAGTAAGAAGTAATAAATTTCAACAAACCGATTGGTAAACATACAACTAACAGTGCGGAGGGGATTTTTAAAGTTGTCTTTTTCTTGAAACCACCCAAAATTAGGTCATTAAGCCGATAAAAAAGGAGACAATTTGGGACAAGGAACTTTTTTTAAGCAAAACAAAAAAACAAAGGAAATACAATGTTACAAATTGTATGAGTAAATCGATCACAATAGGAAATATTACAAAAAAAATTAGCACCTTTGATGTTCCAGGCATATTCGTTACCTCCAAGCTACGTTGGCCGTGAACGCATAGAAGTTTCAATTCATTATGAACCAAGATAAAAGTGGTTCTGCTAAACAAGTTGTTAGCCCAAAAAAGTCTATATTCCAGTTTGATAACGCTTGCTAATCGCAAGCGTAATAAAACTAACCTAAATTGTCCAATTACAGAATGGGTAAATTGCAGAAAACAAAGCTGCACTATGCATACACAAGCAAAAAGAACTGTAAACTGGAACCGAGAAAACTTATTAAACTCCACAAGCGTTAATAACTGCGCCACAAAGCAAGACTTGAGCATGAATGATTTTCAATTCAAAAACATAGCCACAGACAGTTGTAAAAGAGTCAATGAACGCAAGTAAATAGAAAAAACGGCCTTAATTCTTTGAAAATAAATCTTAAGTATCGCATTTCAAAAAAAGGATGGCCTTAAAGCTCTTCGAATTTTTAGAAAAACTAATGATTGACACTTATTTGATAAAATTAACCCAATTTATGAACACTGTCTTCATAGGTAGGAAATCCGATGATTAAATTCCATTTTCGAAACCAGAAGTCGATCACATTTTCTGTGACCTCAACACTTTCGCTGTTCGATAGTGGAATTCGCCTTTCTTTTAACTATGAAATGGAACTGAACTTGAGAAAGAAATCATAAGTCAAACCGCAAAAAAGTAATGCTAAGTCTGACTTTTCCTGAAAAAAAAAAATCATCGCGACCTATAAAATGGTCTGAACTACGGCAAGTTGGAAAAAAAGACATTGAAGTCAAGAAAACCGAAAAAAATGATTTGAAATTCGAAAAATAGATATCATAATAAAACCTTTGATCTTCGACAAACTACGATTTACAATTTTTCACAAAAGTAACACAACATAAGAAAACCACAGGCATTCTGATTGTCCATTTTTGGAACTACCTCATTCATATTTTCGTCACGTGAGAACATTTTTTTCCTTGCATATAGCAAAATAAACTTCAGATAAAATCGAATTTAAAAAAAATTAAACCCAGAAAAATACAATTTGACTTTTTCACTTCGTTGATTGACGCTTAGTAGGGTCTTGCAATTACAAAATCCAATTCTTTTGATCAGCCTCCGCAAAATCGAACCTCTCACTGTACCCATTGAATTCTTGATCCAAAAATTTAAATTTCAGCTCAGAACGAGGAGAATTCGCCATTTAACAAAGCTACTCATAAGCTTCACGGCTGTAAGCATTCCACGTGGAAACCTTAAATGAAACCACTTTAGAAAACAAAAGCACAAACCTTTTTTCACCTAGTTTCAGTAAATTTCTGGGACAGCTCAATTTGATAAATGAAGTTGAGATACAACCATAATTAAAAAAAATCGAAGTATTCAAAATTTTTTTAAAACAACATATCAAAAGACAGTGGAAAACGTAGCCAGAAGAGTTAGAAAAAAGTCAATGAACGCAATGAAACAAAAAAACTGACTCTTTTTTTAAAGCCTCAACTTTTGAAGCAAAAAAAAATGTGACTTTTAAGCTCTTGTAATTTCAAGAACTATTTATGGCTGACACTTTTTGATAAATAACTATGACTATGAGAAAGCTGGATCAATAGAAAATGATCTTCTTCCGCTGGGAAATTTGAAAATTTAAATCCACGTTTAAAATAAGAAATCGATCAAGTTTTTCGTGACTCTTACAGTTTTGCTGTTCAATAGTGGAGCTTGCCTTCCCTTCAAGCAAATGAACAGAACTAAGCAAATCAAAAATCAAATCGCGAGAAATTAAACTTGAGCCTGAACAAATTTTATAATTCTCCTGAAAAGAATGATCACGACCTATATAAGAGTCTGAACTACATTCACCGACTCTTAATAAGATTCTTATAACATTTTGCTGTTCGATAGAGGAGTTTGCCTTCCTTTTAACAATGGAAATAAACTGACTAAACTTTAAAAAAAAAATCAAATATCAAACCGCGAAAAATCAAATTAAGCGTGAAAATTTTACAACCCTTTTTTCCTGAAAAAACTACAAATATCATCAAGACCTATACAATAGTCTTCACTGCATTCATTAATTCTTTAAAATGCTATTGATCACAAATAAGTCAAAAACGACTCAGTTTTCCATTGGAAATTAAAAACAAGGCCAATGTTGGAAAAGCCTCAGGAAAATCAGAAAAAAAACTTTAAGATTTTTGGAAGAATAATTCATCATTTTGAATGTCTATAAATATGATTGACGCTTTATAACAACAAGGATGGAAGTAAAATTATTCAATCTATTTTTTTTTATTTTAAAGGATCTTTCAAGCTTTTTGATACCAAGGCAGAGATAAACTTTGCCAAACAAGCAGCCAAATTAGCCCAAAAAAGAAAAAAGCCTGAAAAAAATTGGACAAAGAGGCGGAGCTGAGCTTCGCATTCCTTGTGATACAAAACAGAAAGCCGGTAAATCGACAAAAATGAACACTCTGCATGAAAATTCTCGCCACCTGTTTCTTCGACTGAACTGTTGATCTGATTTGGCAGGGTAGTTTTTCTGTAAAGTCAAAAAGTTTCCAAAAAACGGTCCCAAAAATAAACAAACATGACTTTTCCGAAGGCTATAGCTTTTTTCTGCACAAATAAGGACGTACTAGCTTAAAAACGCAGAAAATATGATCGATAAAGCTACTGTGAAAAACTGAATGAGTAAGACTTTGAGTCTACAAATTTCTTAAGCGACACACGCCAATTATGAGTCTATATAATTTCTAAGTGACGCAAGCCAATTATGCCACATTAGCAGTACCAGTCAATTTGAAAAAAAAATTACCAACTAACATGCCTCAATTTATAGAGCGGACCCATTTTAATTAGTATACAAAAAAGTTCATTAAAAGCATCCGACCCGCCCAGGTTCGACCCCTCTAATTGTTTCGGGTCTTCTACCTTACCTCTACGGTGAGCTTTAAGGCCATCCTTTTTTGAAATTTGATACTTAAGATTTATTTTCAAAAAAATAAGGCCGTTTTTTCTATTTACTTGCGTTCATTGACTCTTTTACAACTGTCTGTTGGCTGTTTTTGTATTGAAAATCATTCAGGCTTAAGTCTTGCTTTGTGGCGCAGTTATTAACGCTTGTGGAGGTTCATAAGCTTTCTCGGTTTTGCTTGTATGCATAGTGCAACTTCGTTTTGTGCAAACTACCTATTCTGTCATTGTGGGCAAATTAGGCTAGTTTTATAGGAATATTGATTCGGCAGTGAATGGGTGAATGATATAAGGTTCTTGAGTTCTTGTTCATTTTTATAAATGCATATGTGAATGCCCTTAGGTATATATGCTCTTTATGAGTTTAATTAAAGTTCATTTGCTAGAAGATATGCAAAATGCACTCTCCAGTTATGAAAGCTGAAATGGCGCGAAAAACGTGATTGATTTTTAGTTTCGAAACTTAGTTTAACTTTCAGATTCCCCAGCGGAATAAAATTTTTACCTAACAATCCAGTTTTCTCAAATTGATTTAAATTTATCGAAAAAATGTCAATCATATATTGTTCTAGAAATTCAAAAAGCCTTCAGGCCATCTATTTTTTTAAGTTTTTTTTTGTTTCCTTGCGTTCAGTGACTCTTTTCCAACTGTCTGTCGGCTGTTTTTTTATGCTAAGAAAAGGCAAATAAATTGGGCAAAAATTTGCAGTAAGAAAATTGGTCGTGTCTAAAATAACGTAAAATAAACGGAGTCCAATCAAAGTTGAGTTTATTGTTACTTTATTTCATGTGGTTTGAAAATCGTAAAAACTCTGACAAAACCTGGAAACTAAAATCCGATTTTTGCGCCGACTACAATTTTGTATTCGTGAGGGCAAATTTACTTCACAAGGAAATTTAATGGTTTAACTAAACGAGCTATAGAAACTATACATGACTTCAGCCATTTATGTACTGTCATGAAAACCAATCGGTGCCCTCTACCAACAAACCTCAATTTGATAGCCGCAAGCGCCTTTGACCTGCAAACGAATAATAATTAAATCCGCCATAAAACACAACATTCAGTGCAAATGCATAAAAATTGAATATTTTTTTCTGTAACCAGTTAATTTCTTACTTTACTGGTTAACTGTGTTAATGACAACAGCCAATTTCAAAATACAATTAACTCATGCCATTAATAGTATGCAAAGCATATTTTCTGCAATCTTTTACCTGATAAGTACGCTAGAAACAATTTAATTGATAACATTTTTCATTGCTTTGAAAATCAGCAAAAGTAAGTGTTTGAAAATAATGGAAATAAAACTAACGGGTCTTTTTCAAACGCATAATTTGCACTCAGTTTGCTGCCCAAATACTCCACTTTTCCCTCGTCCATTAACGTTTTCATTTGTAGAGCTTCCTCGTCATTGCCGTACGTCACAAACCTAAAACATTTGAAGATGCTCTTTTCAAGCAAAAAATACTTAAAAAAACAAATAAAAACCATCCAATTGCTGTGCAAATAGCAAATAAAATCCTGACCACAGTGATTACAGTATAAATTTATTTTAAAACATGATAAATTAGCTTTTAATACACCAGGTGAAAAGGACGCTGTCTCAAATACACTGTTTAAAAACAATCATTTAATATTAAGTGGCTTATTTGAATTAGCCGGACATGAATAAAATCTGAAACTTTGAAGGAATTGTTCTCAAGCGACAAGAACCGTTTTTTGCCAGAAAATTTGATTTTATTTGTTTTGCGAAACTCGGACCCAAAATTTAAACCCAAAAGATGGGAAATTTTAGTTTCGTTTTTGAACGGAACTTGTGACAATACAAGCATAGTAACATAGCATTGCAAGCGAACAAAAATTTTGGCTGCGGGGCTGGAAATTTGGTCAAATTAGACCCTCTAAAGTGTTTGCCTGCAGAGCAGAAAATTTGATCAAAATAGGGGTCTTTAATAATGCTCTGGGACTCTCTATAATAGACTCTCTATGATATTTGCCTGCAGAGCAGATTTTGATCAAAATAGCGCTTGTCTTTAAAAATCAATTTGGTCGAGCTTAAAAATATATATTTTTTGAAAAATCAACCTTCCTTCTCTCCCTCGAGAAAAATCTAGATCATCCTTTGATGTGATATGATAACGCTTGCTCGTCGCAACTGCAACAAAAACGTAGGCTAAAGCTGTTGCTCAGTTTTAACACCTACATAAGGCTGAAGAATTTAGGAAAAACAGTCTTAAATAAGATTTTGCCAGTTGTCTATTTACGAGTTATCCGGTGTTGTCAAATGTGTAAACATAGCCAGCAGACAGTAGGAAAAGAGTAAATGAACGCATGTAAGCAAAATAAAATGGATGTTTTTTTTTTGAAAACTCTTTTAGTTCCGATTTTCGAAAAAATATACGGCCTTGAAGCTCTTTTAGTATCTCGAAAAACTTATGACTAGCTTTTATTTTGATAAAACTAACCCAATTTGAGAAAACTGGAGCAATAAGTTAAATTTTAATTTCGATGGGGAATCTGACATAAGTCAAACCACGAAAAATTAAGCTTGAGCCTCAACAAAATCTAAGAGTTGGCCGAAAAGAAATCATCACGACCTATGCAAGAGTCTACACTACGTTCATCGACTCTTAGTTAACAATTTGCAAATTATCCTTTTTTAGAAAATTTAATCAGCGCTTTTTGCATAACTTCTGCTCAAAACATAGCCAATCGAAGATTGGTAAAGAGAGTAATGAACGCATGTAAATATAAAAAAAACACTGACTCTCTTAAAAAAATTTCAACTTTCGAAATTCAAAAAAAAAAATAGTAGATGCCCTTTGAGCTCTTTGAATTTCTAGAACAATTTATGATTGGCGCTTTTTTGATAACATGAACCCAACTTGAGAAAACTGGATCAATAAGTAAAGTTTTTCTTCCGCTGGGAAATCTAAAAATTAAAGTCCACTTTCTAAGCTAGAAATCGTTCGTTTTTCGCGCCATTTCCACGTTCGCATTTGGAGAGTGCTATTTACGTCACTTTCAGCAGATGAACTTCAATTGAACTCAAAAAGAGCATTATACCTAAGTGCATCAATATTTTAAGACTTCTTACTAAAAAAAAACAAACAAAAAATCAGCAACACCTATATAAATCTTCACTACGTTCATTACTAGTAAAAAAAACGGAACCAAAAATGTTCCCGTATTAGGGTTAAAACTTTGAGTCAAAACAAATTGCACCATTTTATCTGGCAAAATTCAAAAATCAAATTTGCCTTCGTCACATGCAGCTTCAAACCTCAGATAACAAATAACCCGCCAATCAAAATCCAGTTTGGATATATTTTTTCGCCATTTGCACTCTCATTGGAAAGCGTAATTTTATTTTCATTAGAAATTAATTTTGTTTACGTTATATTACGGTTTGTGTTATATTACGTGGCCATTTCGTTTCAATGCTACAGGTTGGTTGCTGATTATAATCATTGTTGTTGAATAACGTGAAGGTTAATTTTGGTTGGGTTGTATATGTTTTGTTTTTAAAATTCTGTGTATAATTTTCAAAATAAAACATATTTTCGCGGGAACAAATTTTAAGATTTTTTCCTGGAAAACAATGCAAAAATAAACTCAACCAGAATTAACCTTCACGTTATTCAACAAAAATAATTATAATCAGCAACCAACCTGTAGATTTGAAACGAAATGGCCATGTAATGTAACACAACCTTCGCCCAATTGATATCCCGTACAATTGATAAACCTTTTTAGGAAAATATAGCTTAAAAAACAGTTTTTTTTATCCAATGTGATTAAGCTGGCAATGCCATGACTTATTAGGACGATGAACCAACATAGCCGACAGCAAGGATCACATTTGAAGCGCCAAATCGTAGCAGCGGAAAGTTTGTTATCTAGCGCCATAACAACTGATCACGTATTTTGAGGCTTTCGAGTCGCCAGCGCAATGTTTCGAGGGGTAATTATACAAAAGCGATCAAAGTAACAGAATGTTTTGTGGCAGGTGCTTTTTTCAAAACATAGCCAACAGACAGCTGGAAAAGTGTCAATGAACGCAAGTAAACAGAATATACTGAATTGTTTTTTGAAACAAAAAGGAAAAAATAGATGAACTCAAAGCTCTTTGAATTTCTTGAACAATTAATGCTGACGCTTTTTTGATGAGAAGAGCCCAATTTGAGAAAACTGGATCAAGAAAATTTTTATTTCGATGGAAGTACTAAAAACTAAATTCCACTTAAAAATTAAATTCCACTCCAGGTCAACCAAACTTTTCGTGACCACTGCCCTTTAGCTGTTCGATAGTGATATTTCCCTTCTTTTTAACAGAAAAAAAAACGAACTGAACTTAAAAAGAAATCAGAAGTCAAACCGCGAAAAAGTAAATTAGAGCTTGAACAAATTTATAACTTTTCCTGAGAAAAAGTCATGGCCTATTTGGAGTCTGAGCTACGTTCATCGACTCTTTAAAAATTACCATAACATTGTCGCGCTAAAATAAAGATGTGAATCAACAAATCTCCAAGTCTATAAATAAGCTTAAATCAAATGCAACCACGGGGTCAAAAGAGTCACAATTTTCATTTCAGCGAAAAAAATGAGTGTACGTCTACACATTCGGGCAACGTTCAGTTACTTTTTCAAAAATGCAATCCATTAAGAAACTGTCCAAATTTAAAATCAATTTTGAAACATAGCCAATCGAAGATTGGAAAAGAGAAATGAACTTTCAAATTTCAACGAAAAAATAGATGCACTTTAAGCTCTTTGAATTTCTAGAACACTTTCAGCACATGAATTTCAATTGAACTCAAAAAGTGCATATACACCTAAGTTCATTCATAAATTCATCAATAAAAATGAATACACATTTATAGTTATAAGAGACTTTTAAGACTTTTCCTGAAAAAAAAAACCAAAAAAAAATCAGCAAGACCTATTTAAGGGTCTTCACTACGTTCATCACTCTTATAAATTAAATTCCATTTTCGAAACTAGAAATCGTCCATGTTTTTTTGTGCCATTTCCACGTCACACGTATTTGGAGAGTGCTATTTACGTCACTTTCAGCAGATGAATTTCAATTGAACTCAAAAAGTACATAATACCATACCTAAGTGCTTCAATCGGGAAAAAAGCAAAAAAATCTGAAGACCTATATGAGAGCCTTCACTACGTTCATTACTCTTAAAAACTAACTTAACGTTGTAATAATGCAATGAAATTTCGTGTGGCGAATAAAAATACTATCCTGACTACATTTATTCTTCAATTTTTTTCATCGAATAGCACGTAAAACCAAGATGAAAAAGGGAAATTTGAAATATGTGGGTCAAGTCTCCATTTTTTTTGTTTCGGCAATTATTTGAACCACCGTGTTAAATTTTGTTACTGACAGATGAAATCAATGAATGACCGTTAAAACATCTACTTTTAGTCATATTTTAAGTTCGAATGAGATATATTATCAACTAGGAAAAGAATTCGGAGAAAGGACTGATGAAAGCTGACGTGATGCCGGCTGTTTATAGAAATTTAAAAATCTCATTAAGCCGAAAATCAAATCTAATCCAAACATGGCAAAAAAAATTGTTGATGATCAACTATAACCCTAACGGACATCCGAGAATTTTAATTAATTAATCAATCATACTATAAGCATTGTTTGCGTTCATTTACAAATCAATTCAATCTAAAACACGTTTTTTCTTTATTAAAGTTTACTAGCGTGCAACACAATTCCAGTGATTCAAACATATTACACAGAGGCGAAGCAGAGCTGCGCACCACTTGCGATACCAAACTGCATGCCGAAGTTCGAAAGAACTGGCTCGAACAAAATGGGAAACAATTAAATGAATTAATTGGAAATCTCTTGTAAAAAATTATTTGAAATTTCGTGTAATTTTTATAGAACTGAAATGCCAAAACATAAAGCAATCATTCTGCACAAAGTCTACTCATCTTTTTCTGATAACTATTAGACGGAAAGAATACGAAAAAAAGAAAGGTTTCGGTCCAAAAATCATGATCCGAAAATTCACCAAGAGAACTTTTGATTGCTTTCTTAAAAACAATGATCATGAACAAAAAAATTAAACATTGAAATTTCAAAACACTTGATTACAAAAATTTCAGACAATATAACATAGAATTTGCAAAAAAATATATTGAAACTCTGAAAATCTATCAAAATAACCCAATAAAACCAATACGAAGCTAATACGAAACGGTAAGGTAGCTTGATCACAGCAAAACGAGAACAATTAAAATTGAAGTTAGTGAAATTTCATAACTTTCAAAAGATTCCTATTACCAGAAACAACCACATCCCTGAATATCGTGCAACACACGCCTAATACCTCATTATTCAAGACAAAAAGTCAAAATTTGCAAACCAAGTTTTCCGGAAATTCATTATAGAAATTTTATTTTGACTAAATTAGAAAAAGTATAGACATCTAAAAAATTAACTGTGCCAACACCTTGAATGTATTTCAAAAGAAAATGCTCAGAATAAAAATTTGTCACAAAGTTGGGTCAAACTAACTGCACACACTATCAGAACAAAACCAGAACAAAAAATTCAGAAACTATGCATTCGAAAAAACAACTGAAACTATATAAAAAATCAAACAAAATATCGCTTTATTTTCTTTCCAAAATCAAAATTTTAGCTGGTTTTAAGAAAACGTGTTAAAAACATGCATGAATAACCTTTGAGCATGTTAAGTTCTTCGAATTTAACTTAACGATCAATTAGAAGGAATTTTCTTTCAAAAAACACCCGGTAAATAAGCCGAAACCTATTAAACCTACAAAAAAAAACAATTTATCAATTGAAATTTTTTTACCAGTAGATCCAGTAACGCATGAACTTTAGACACAGTAACTCGAGGTGTTAAATGTGCATCCTGCTCAAAAATGGAGATCATCCTGTGGACAAACTTCGTAAAGCGAAAAAAAAATCTAGTACCCGATTGCAACACCCTTGCTTATCGCAAGGGTCAATAAACGTGCCTATATAAAAATACATCCGAAAAGAAAGCAACCATAACAATAGACGGGGGTAACCAACAACATTTTTGATTTCAAACATTAAACGATAAATAAATTTCAATTTGAAGGTTCTTTTTAAATTAAAATGGTCAAATCTCCAAAACCACTGGGTTTCAGATCTTCGTACATTTCGTGTTCATACCATTTGCTGCCATCAATAGATAGATCCAGTGTACTTAAATTAAAAACAAACATTTTCTTAGTTCAATGAAAATTTTGGAATACCATAAAAGGTCAATTTCGAAATCATAAGCAACTTTGGCAATATTAGGATGAAGGCGATATCTGCAACTGCTGGTAATCTGACTTCACCCCACCATGTTTCGACGATTTCAAATTTTGAACTTTTTTCTGAATTGTAACACTTAATGTTTGAATAAACAAAAAATGTCATATCTGAAAATAAAAAACATCATATATAGGAAAATGAAATGCGTTGAGCAGTCATGTTTGGAATCGAGATATAAACTTCATGAGAGTACCATGATAGCACACCATAGTTTTGAAAATTTCAAACCATTGAAACGTTTTGAAAAATCAAAAAATGGCATATCTCGTAAACTAAGATGACTTGAGCAGTCAAACTTGGACAAAAAAATTGCAACCTCCAAGATTAGCTTGAAATCATTCCATAATAGGCTTGGGAATTAAAGGTTCTGTAAATGTTTTTTGAAAAAAACTTCATGTATTGGGAACTGAAATGATTTCAGCACTCACATTTGGAGCAAAGAATCGCAACCCCTGAAAGTACACTCACACAGCACTCAATTATAGGATTGTTACTTGCAAATTTTGTAAATCTAAGTTTTCTCCAAATTTTTGAAAATATCATAAAAAAAACATCACATCTCGGAGACTGAAAGCATTTGAGCAAACAAATTTGGACGAAAGATTTGCATCCCTCGGAGTACTAGGGAATTTCACTTTTTAAATCCCAATTTTCCGAAAATAAAAAAAAAAATAAAAAACTTCATACCTCGAAAACTACAAGGACTTGTGCGATCAAATTTGAAGCAAGATTCGTAACCCCTGAGAGTACCCTGACAATAAGGTTGTCTCTGCATGTTCGTTACCTCTGCGCAGACGGTTGAACTTGAATTAAAGATAAACCGTTAAAAAGGACCAATTTTGTGGTTAAACATATACAATTTTTCTGCCTTGAAAAGAATAACCTCCTTTGAAAATAATTATAGCCGTTACTGTGCAGGTAGCACATAATGACCCGACAAATTCGCAGAAAAGAATTTTTTCTTCAAGTTAGTGTCTTTTTTCAAGATAGTGTCTTTTTTATACGTCGTTTGATGATACAACTATACAAACGCCTAAAAATTTAAGGAATTAGGCTCCAATTGTCTTCAAAAAATAAAATAAAAACACAGAAGCGAAGCTGAACTTCGCACCACTTGCGATACACAAACATAGCCAATCGAAGATTGGAAAAGATTAATGAACGCAAGTGAACATTAAAAAACTGACTTTCTTGAAAAAATCTCAACTTTCGATACCTTTTGAGCTCTTTCAATTTCTAGAACAATTTATGATTGGCGCTTTATGATAACATGAACCCAACTTGAGAAAACTAATTCAATAGGTAAAGTTTTAATTCCGCTGGGAAATCTTAAAAATTAAATTTCATTTTCGAAACTAGAAATCGTTCACGTTTTTTGGCCCATTTTCACGTTCGTATTTGGAGAGTGCTATTTACGTCACTTTCAGCAGATGAATTTCAATTGAACTCAAAAAGTGCATTATACTTTAAGTACATCAATATTTTAAGAGTTTTTCCTGAAAAAAAAACAAAAAAAATCAGCAAGACCTATAAAAGAAACTTCCCTATGTTCACTGTCACGAGCTTTTTATCATTTCACTCCTGTTTGAAACAAAAAACTTTTTTCTATTTATTCGATGTATTAAAAAGGCATCAACTGTAATAAATTATTACTTATCAAATGTCAAAGCACATATGACATTATACTGCTACCGTAGCCTACCGATTCAAAAGTGGCACCAAAAGTAGCGCTTTTATTTGCGACTTAGGCTGGAAAACAATAAATTTCGTACAAATACACTTTGCTTCGCAGGTGTAAACACATGAAAAGAAAAATTACAAATTACCACAAAAAATAACTTGTAGAAAATCTGAAAAAAACTCTGAAAACCTATGAAAAACAGGTAACCACTCAATTACATCATGAATTATCAGTTATGAAGTTTTTACGCAACGGTAAAACAGCTAGAACACAAAAAAAACATTAGAAAAAACGCCGAAAATGGAAATAAAAACATGAAAAGATTTTCAAAATTTCAGAAAACAGTCTAGTCATATTTGCAAAAAAATCTAAAAATTTATCATCACATAAAATTGAAACATCACATTAAACCATCAACGTGAATTGATTTCAAATAAACTTGCTTTACCCTAAGACACACATAACTAATTAAAACTAAAACTAGTTTGATGCACTTTTAGAAACTAAATAATCAGAAGCCATGCATCCGAAAAAACTTATTTGCAGAATGAAATTATAGCATGAAAAATCCAATTTTTTTAAGAGAACATTTAGGCGCCTATAAAAACCAGAAAACCTCATAAAAAAGTATCAAATAATCGTACCCTCATGAAAATGAAGAAGAAAGTATCAAAAATCTACCAAAAAATACAGACTTAATTAACCAGCAAGTAAGCCGACAAAAAATTAGTCGAAATTAATGAAGTCGACAAAAAATCTCATCTAAAAATCTTCAGCTGTAAAACATTGAATCAAGCTTTTGAATTAGAGCTGTTAGACGTGCATCTTGAGTAGAATAAAAATAGAGATACATTTGGAGATGAACAAATTTCAGTCACCCTGTGGACAAAGTTGTTTACGGAAAAAAACCTAGTACACGATTGTAATACCCTTCCTTATCGCAAGAACAAAAAAAAAACAAGAAAAAAAATTTTCATAAATTTTTTGCACTACATATTCTTAACATTTTTGATTTTTTTTTGCCAGAGAAGAGCTGAATGAGGGTGCCGAAACTAGTTTTCTATTCATTAAAATCAAATCTTTTTAGCCGAAATTGCTAATTTTCATAAATACCAAAGTTACTCGATTGCTTAATCGTTCGAAATTAGACGAAAAAAAAACTTAAAATTTCAAACCGGTTTTTCTCGACAAGAAAAAAATGTTGAGAATTTTTTAATGTGGTTCGAATCACGACTAAAGGGCTTCATTATGATGTATCGCTCAACCCAGTCCCATGGTGAATTGTGGTACCTGGTTTTGCGAGAAAAGAAAGAACTAAAACACACGCGAATACAAAGTTCCTCCCATTTTCAATGGTCGGAACAAACAGCATATGCTGAACAAAAATGAAACAGTACTCACGAGTTCTTTATACTGCTGTTGGGGTTCTTGCTTCTCAATGCGAAAAACAGCTCTATAGGTTCAGTCCCGGTCTGTTCTTTTAAGAAATTGCGGAAATGTGCCTGCAAGCAGAAGACAGGTTAACTAGGATGGAGATATCTCATTCATTGAGGATATTGCTACTTAGTATACTCGCTCAACGTGAAAGAAAACCAGTCAGCAGGCAGTTGGAAACAAAGCCAACTGACAGTTGGAAAAGAGTAATGAACGCAAGGAAACTTAAAAAAAAAACGACTTATTTTTTCAAAATCTTCAACTTTTGAATTTCGAAGAAAAAAACAGATGTCCTCAAAGCTCTTTGATTTTGTAGAACAATTTATGACCGATACTTTTTTTTTAAAATTAACCCAATTTGAGAAAACTGGATCAATAAGTATAACTTTTATTTCGCTGGGAAATCTGATAATTTATTTCCATTTTCGAAATTAGAAGTCGATCACGCTTTTCGTAACCTTTACAATTTTGCTGTTCGAAAGTCGAGTTTGCCTTCGTTTTAACAATAGAAATGCACTGAAATTAAAAAGAAATCACAAGTCAAACCAATCACAAATGAACAAAATTTTCCTGAAAAAAAAACAAAAATCAGCAAGACCTATAAAAGAGTACTCACTACGTTCATTACTCTTAAAAAGTCAATAATTGCAGGAAGCCGAAAAAACTTTTGAAACGTTTCAAGCCACGCGCCTTTAATTGTAAATTCTGTAAATTTAAACATACCCTGTCTGCTTCAACTGGCACATTGTAAACACACAATTTAAACTTCTCAATACTCTGTTGACACTGGACTTCTGTCTCCGGCTGACTAACACTGCCTCTTGGACTGTTTCTATCAAACCCATTCGACCTCTGTTCCTGTTCAATAATCAAATGATTGGTAAAATGGTGCTAAGTGAACAATGTCCCCTCTTAATTAATTTAGTAATTGTCCACGTGGTTAAAATTAATCTTTTTCGGCCAATCAAGTTTGAGCAAAATACATGTTGGCCTTACTGCATGAACTTGCCATAACTTTAGGGGAAATATTGTGTAATTGGTCTTCTTGGGGGAGGGGAGAGATTGTTCATAAGGTCCAAAGTAAGCTATATGGCTTCCAAAAAACACCTAAGGATAACTTAGTGTTTACCCCAACTTTAATGCACTTTTTCCTATTTTAGTGTTGTCCATTAAGACTAAATCATATCCCTTTGCGCAGGCTGAAGCGACACTAAACAATGCATCGAAAGGCACAAAATCTAACGCAGAAGCAAAACAGAGCTTCAAACCACTTGCGATAAAAACAAGTATCGGATCCAAACCGGCAAGACGCTCAAGAACTATCAAAGAGGACTTGTTGTTACCGTTGAAGAAATAACTAGAAAAACAAAAACGTTTTTTTTTTTATGTTTAAATTTATTGAAAATTTTATTGAAAAAAATATATACTGACTAAACAGTATCCACGAAAGCCTTATACGTACTGAAGGCAAGGTGGTATACGCAATTCGGAAACTAAACCGAGAGCTTAATCGACAAGCACAAAACCGAAAAAACCATAGCAAAAAATGTCATGTTTTATAGCTATAAATGCAATTAGGTCTATCTGAATGAAGAGAGATAGTTCTGAAACAAAACATGCCCGGACAATAGAAAGCAAAATTAGCGTCGGAACAAAACTTACCAAGTTATTTTTCTTATTACACTTAATAGAGCTGCTTTTTGTCGTATTTTCGGTAGTGTTTGCGAAGCAAAGCTTCGCCTTTGTGTTAAAATTTCCCCGGTCTTACTCAATGCAGGACCAACCGAGGGGGAAGGGGGACGTCATACATTTTTTTGATGCCGGTCCCACCTTGAGGTCAATGACACTGGGACCCCTCCAACCGTGACCGAAGATCAGCAAGGCATGCGAATGAAAATCCACTCAAGTCGAATAATAGACGGCATTAAACTTATGATTACCTGAGCGAAGCTTGCGCTATACTACAAGGCCGTTTCCAAATAGATATGGGGAAGAGCGACAGAAACAGCCCTTAGAAATTCATAGAGAATATTTTCATTTATGAATGCTTTTAGGAAGGGGTGGATTTATGAAGAGAACGACGGACGCACCTCCCCCACTCAGGGTTGCGACCCCCTGCCGACCCAAAAGGTCCCCCCTTTGATACTTTTTCAGAAATCCATTTTGGCCGAACGACCCTAAAATTTTTCTAAAGGCCCCTTTGGCGCCAGTATATACTAATTTTATGGGGGGAGCTCGCGCCGAAAAAACACGATTTTTTGGTCGAAATTTCAAAAAAAGGTCCAAAAACGACTTTTTTGACTGTTTTTTCAAAAATTTGCCTGTGGCGCAGAAAATTTTGCAAAATAGGGGCAAAACAGTGCTTTGGGAGAGCTCGAAAAATCAATTTGGTCGACCTAAAAAAAAAAGGTCAAAATTTTGGAAAATTTTTTGAAAATCCGCCCCCCTCTCGAGAAAATCCTAGATCCGCCCCTGCATACAGACGCACTTTTTTCAGTGATCAAACGACGCAAAAAGAGTCCAATAAAAAAGCCAATAAAAATAAGCCGAATCATTATAAGCCGAAAAAAGCTTTAAAAAAAACGAAATTTTAACAAATCGAATTGGCAAAATTACAAATATATAAAAAGCAAAATTCGATTCGGCCAGATAATTAAAATGCTAAAACACTATAAGCAACTAAAATGAAAACTGTGTACAGCGAAAATATACGATTCTTAGATTTGGCAACTAAACCGACAAAACATGAGCAGACAAATATTAGACTGACAATTATATGATACAGAATATTTCCCGATTGAAAAAAAGGTCCTGGTCAGACTCGACTCCACCTTTGCCGACCCAAGCTTATTCGTAACCTACAGACTGAGTAAAAATAAGCCACCAAGAAATTTGAATTCATTATGAACTTCCAGGAGATGAGTCCAGTGAACACGAGGGTAAAAGTCTAGTACCCGATTGCAATACCCTTGCTTATTGCAAAGCAACATACATTTATCTGATAGCAAATTTAGATCAATTCAGATATTCGCAATTCACTTAAAACTGTTTTCTGCAGCTACCCGCCATATTTATGAACATCATCTTAGCATGCATTTACCGAGTGGAATCCGTTCGTTTTTTGGTCATGATGAATTGCACTCTTGTGACCTTCGGGTTTATGCAGAGAGACCGAGATGATCTTTTTCCCTTGAAACTCGAGATGAGTTTTGGATCCCAGGAACCCAACTATGCCGGCAGCTTCCATACAATTGGCAAAATCGGCAACGCTAAAAATCGGCTATCGGTATACAACTCTACAACCCGATATTAATGCAAAATGTTGGGAAGCCCATTTCGCCCAGTTACATTATCGGCTAATGAAGCAGATATTATATAAATCAAAACAAATAAACATTTTAGATAAATTATCAATAAATTTTTGCTTTTGACTTCGCCATGAATTTAAAAGATGAGAATCCAGGAAGAGAAACTATGTGCTTAAATTTTACGGAACAAAAAAACTTCTACTGCATAAAGACTACTAGACATGAGTGATAACAATATTTGATCAATGATTTTTGTTTTCCACAAACTCAAATGAAAGCAGGTCAACATAAACATTTCTATACACACCAATGTTTGTGGTCACTGAAATAAATCAACGCTTTCTGCTATATTATATTTCTTTTGAGGTAGAAAAATAACCTCTATAACAACTTAAGCAAACAGCAAAGGCCAAAAAACAACGCAGGTAAGACCTGTCCGAGATTTTAAAAAAATTGGTCATTAGGTGCGATTTTTTGAAAAAATCGTTCGTTTGAAATTTCGATGTACCAAGACCACCATCTTATTTACTGACAAGTCAATTATGTCATATGTACGTTCAACGCAGAGACGAAGTTTCGCACCACTTGCGCAAAAAAACACATGTTTTCTAAAAAAAATTAAATATTACAAAAAAGGCACGATCAAGCGATTCCTTAAACCTTCTGATGCCAAAGAAACAATTAAGGGAAGAGGAAAATCGGAACGTTTCTTAAGCCTTGTACTGGCATTTATTGCACTCAGAGAGAATCAAAAAAAATTCAAAAACTTCAAGAGAAGGCGCTTTTTTTTAAATAATGAAAACTCCAAACTATAAAAAATTAGATAAATTGGCAAAACTACTTAGAGGACTTTCAATTTTAGAACATAGCCAACTGACAGTTGGAAAAAATAATGAACGCAAGGAAACTGAAAAAAAAATTAACTTGTTTTTTTTTTCAAAAACCTCCAACTTTTTAATTTCGAAGAAAAAACAGATGGCCTTAAAGCTCTTTGAATTAGTAGAACAATTTATGATGAAAACTTTTTTTAAAACTAACCCAATTTGAGAAAACTGGATCAAAATGCAAAACTTTTATTCCGCTGGGGAATCTGATGATTAGTTTCCAGTTTCGAAATTAGAAAGCGTTACACTTTCGCTGTTCGATAGTGGAGTTTGCATTCCTTTTAACAATGGAAATGCACTGAGCTTAAAAAGAAATCAAAGTCAAACCGCAAAAAATCAAAAGTGAGCGTGAACAAATTTTTAGACTTTTTCCTGAAAAAAAAACTCTTTGATTTTGTAGAACAATTTATGATGGATACTTTTTCGTTAAAATTAACCCAATTGGAGAAAACTGGATCAATAAGAAAAACTTTTATTTCGCTGGGAAACCTGATAATTTATTTCCATTTTCGAAATTAGAAGTCGATCACGCTTTTCGTGACCTTTACAATTTTGCTGTTCGATAGTGGAGTTTGCCTTCGTTTTAACAATAGAAATGCACTGAACTTAAAAAGATATGACAAGTCAAACCGGAAAAAAATCAAAATTTAGCGTGAACAAAATTTTCCTGAAAAAAAAAAAACAAAAATCAGCAAGACCTATAAAAGAGTACTCACTATGTTCATTACTCTTAGGGAAGACTTTCAATTTTAGTTTTAAAATGCTTATACGCAATTTCCATGCTTTGGCAACTAAGCTGAACAAAAATCTGCAGAAGAACAGAGTCCGACAAAAATTTATGTCGAATAGAAAATGTTCAGTTCACTAAAAATTAAGTACTGGCCTGAGTTTAACCGTGAAACTTAGTCTTATCAGGTTTATGCCTAAAATACAATAGACTAAAATAGCCCAAAAACTTTCAATAGCAAATAAGTTGGAATGAACCTGGAATTTGTTAAGGTTTTATAATAAAGCAAGTCAGAAAACCAAGTAAGATTTGTAAGAAAAGTTGTTTATGGTTCCAGATAACAAGACAGTTGCGCTCGCAAGTGTAATAAGACAATAAAACTCGAGTAACATTTTAACGTGCAAAAGTCTAGTACCCAGTTGCAACCAAAGCAGGCCAAAAATTAATTTTCATTGTAATGAACTACAATTAATTGATCTTTTTCATTGCAATTAAATGATTGCACACTACCAATAAATTGCAAATAATTTTATCAAACGCATCTTTTAGAAATACCGGCACATTTCTCAAAGAGAGTAAGTTTTTTTTTAACTTCAGACAACAAATTTGCTTAAAAGATTTTTTAGTACTGTAGAATATGCATATTTGATCTTCGGTAAACTTCGCTGCCGCGAAACATGGAAATTCAGTTATATCTGAAAATTTGTTAACCAAGAGTGATGATTCGTGCTTTAAAATAATTGTACAATTGCAACTAGCGTGTAAGCGTGTAGCGCACCTCCACTGCTTCGAAATTTTTGACAATTCATGAAAAACATCATATATTGGAAACAAGATATGCAACATTCAAGTGTACTCTGACAAAACCCAATTACAGGGTTGGTAAATTCAAATTTGGTGTTTTTTAAACTTTCGTTGCCCGAAAAAAATCAAGAAAAACATCATATCTCAGAAAATAAAAAGATTTGAGCAATAAATTTCGGAAGCAAGATTTGAAACGACTGAGAGTACACTGACAAACAAAAAGGATAAAACACGTCACATCATGGAAACTAAAAGCATTTGTTTTAAATCAACTTTTTTGAACTGTTTTAAATCATAAATTATCTGAAAATTTTGGGAAAATTTATGAACACGTCGTATCTCAAAAACTGCATACACTTAATCAGTCATATTTGGAGACAAGTTTCGTAATCCCTGAGAGTACACTGACATCGCCTCGCTATGAATATAGGATCTTCAAAATTTGTGAAGTTTTTTATTTTTACTTCTTTGAAAAACTTATAGGAAAACATGAAAAACCGCAACATCTCGGAAACTAAAAGCTTTTGAGCAGTCCCGTTTGGATACAAGATCTGCAACTCCTGAGATTACCTTTACCAATCCCAACTACAGGGTTGCGATTTTCAAATTTACGATTTTCGGAAATATTTTTGAAAAAATCATAAAAAACGTCATATCTCGAAGTCAAAGATTTGAGCAGTCATATTTGGAAGCAAGATTTATAACCCCTGAGAGTTGCGTGACAGAGCTTCACTATAGAGCTAGGAACTTCCAATTTAAAGTTCTGAAAATACTTTGGAGAAATCACAAAAATTGTAGTATCTTGTAAACTAAACGGATTTGGGTATTCATAAATCAGGCCAAATTAGCAACCCCTTAAAGAATCTTGACAGCATCTCACCATTGGGTTTTTGCGATAAACAATTGTTGTGATAAACTTATTAAAAAGATCTGTAAGAATCGACGAACTGCAAAAATTATTGCAGTGAGTTGATTGTATGGCACGACATAATCAGCAATATCCCTAACGCCTATCAGCCTAATAACGACTGTCCTAGTCCAGTGGAGCAACTCTCTGCCACATTGAGTGAAATGAAACACCGAGGACCAAAGCTATCTTGTACATTCATAGACAGTACACTGCTAATAGCATCTTCGCCGAACTCGAGTCTACAGGCATCACCATCATAGACGTCGAACGTCGAGAAAAGACTGATTCCTCCATTAAAAACGATCGACCCAGACTTCTCAAAGGACTTGTATTCGGTGCATCCCAAACCGAAAACAAAACATCAAATATTCGAACGAGTAGTAGACCCTCTCAGTGATTTAAGGGATTGTCACAAGTCAAGAAGAACCATCCCTGTCAGCGTCAAAGAAAGCGTTTCCAGAAACGGAACCAACGTAGTCTTCTCTAAGTATTCAATTTTTTTAGATTTCTAACTTTTTAAGTACCTCAGGACCCCGGTCTCTGTTGGTGCGAGAAGTTGATTGAATTAGAGAGATAAATAGAGAGAATGATTTGAAACGACTGAGAGTACACTGACAAACAAAAAGGATAAAACACGTCACATCATGGAAACTAAAAGCATTTGTTTTAAATCAACTTTTTTGAACTGTTTTAAATCATAAATTATCTGAAAATTTTGGGAAAATTTATGAACACGTCATATCTCAAAAACTGCATACACTTAATCAGTCATATTTGGAGACACGTTTCGTAATCCCTGAGAGTACACTGACATCGCCTCGCTATGAATATAGGATCTTCAAATTTTGTGAAGTTTTTTATTTTTTCTTCTTTGAAAAACTGATAGAAAAACATGAAAAACCGCAATATCTCGGAAACTAAAAGCATTTGAGCAGTCCTGTTTGGATACAAGATCTGCAACTCCTGAGATTACCTTTACCAATCCCAACTACAGGGTTGGGATTTTCAAATTTACGATTTTCGGAAATATTTTTGAAAAAATCATAAAAAACGTCATATCTCGAAGTCAAAGATTTGAGCAGTCATATTTGGAAGCAAGATTTATAACCCCTGAGAGTTGCGTGACAGAGCTTCACTATAGAGCTAGGAACTTCAAATTTAAAGTTCTGAAAATACTTTGGATAAATCACAAAAATTGTAGTATCTTGTAAACTAAACGGATTTGGGTATTCATAAATCAGGCCAAATTAGCAACCCCTTAAAGAATCTTGACAGCATCTCACCATTGGGTTTTTGCGATAAACAATTGTTGTGATAAACTTATTAAAAAGATCTGTAAGAATCGACGAACTGCAAAAATTATTGCAGTGAGTTGATTGTATGGCACGACATAATCAGCAATATCCCTAACACCTATCAGCCTAATAACGACTGTCCTAGTCCAGTGGAGCAACTCTCTGCCACATTGAGTGAAATGAAACACCGAGGACCAAAGCTATCTTGTACATTCATAGACAGTACACTGCTAATAGCATCTTCGCCGAACTCGAGTCTACCGGCATCACCATCATAGACGTCGAACGTCGAGAAAAGACTGATTCCTCCATTAAAAACGATCGACCCAGACTTCTCAAAGGACTTGTATTCGGTGCATCCCAAACCGAAAACAAAACATCAAATATTCGAACGAGTAGTAGACCCTCTCAGTGATTTAAGGGATTGTCACAAGTCAAGAAGAACCATCCCTGTCAGCGTCAAAGAAAGCGTTTCCAGAAACGGAACCAACGTAGTCTTCTCTAAGTATTCAATTTTTTTAGATTTCTAACTTTTTAAGTACCTCAGGACCCCGGTCTCTGTTGGTGCGAGAAGTTGATTGAAATAGAGAGATAAATAGAGAGATCAAATACCTCAGCCCTGACATGAAACACGATCGCCTTCAGACAAATACCCTTGCGGAAGCTGCAATGTTGTGTGGTGATGGATCCCTAAAGTATGAGAAATGTAGCTTCTGGTGTCATACGGGGGGCTGTTCAGGAGTATCCAACAGCATTTAGTCATCCATTCAAAAAGTTAAAAGGCTAATCTGGCTCTGCGACGCTTGCGAAATCACAGCAAAGAAGACAATTCGAGGCAAATCACATCTTGATAACGATTTGAAACAGATCGAGTTAGGTCAAAAATGGCCAATATGTAGAACAGTCAGACCGCAGCACTACCGGAACAATTTAGGAAGCTCGAAACAATGATCGAAGCAAAACTTTGCCGTTCGATAGAAACCACTTGGTCATCAGTGGGATCCGGATGATTTCGAAAACTATGAAGCTTTCTTTAGCACACATTTTTAGACAGGCAAGAAAAGGGGACCATTGTGTTCAGGCACAAAAGTATAGCAAAGAATATACCCACATTAAATTTTCGCAAGTGTTGCAGATGAGCAATTGGAGGAACTACTCTAGATTCGCAATAAGCAATACAGCAAACTATATTGTAGATTTTAATTTCCCCAAAATCATTTGATAGCAGTTGTAGACACCGCTTAATGAAAACAGCAGAGAATTCAAGTTCATTCAAAGCACTAAAAATGGTTACTGGCAGCATCTAGTAGACTTAATAACGAAAGGCAGAGGAGGGGATTCCCCATCCAAACTTGACCTGTTGCTGACAAACTGTGATGAATCAGTTAGCCGGTGGACCAGCGAATCACCTTTTGGGAAAAGCGATCACTTATTATTCACTTTCAAGGCAGATCTAAACTTACAATGATCTAAATGTCTGACAGGTAGATGGATGTTCCATAAGGAAATTATTGATCTCATGCGGAAAATGCAGGACCAGGACATGGAGACAAAGCTTAACCTGGAAGGCACAGTGGAAGGAATGTGGAATTCTTTCACGGCTGAGTTCTTTAGAGCTGTGGATCACTGCATACCTAAAACGAAGCCATCTTATTTACATATTCAACCGATTCCCCTTGACGTGAGAATCAGAAAAAAAGTCAAACTCAATTCTCATTCATGGAAAATTTAAATGCAAACAATTGGATCTCCTACTGTAAACAGTGAAAATTGTTCGAGCTATTACTAGACCCACTACTAAAGATAATGAAGAACAGATAGCTGAATCGGCTAAAAGAAACCCGAAAAAGTTCTGGAGTTACATAAACTCGAAGTTGAAGAGACGTACTGGAATTGGAGACCTCATTGAAAAGTGAATCTTGCCAAATTATCAAGAATGACGTAGAAAAAGCGAATTTAATGAAAAATTATTTCTCGAGTGTATTTAAAGAGCCTGAAAAGCCCTCAATAAGTGGAATTGTGGCGCTCCGGTAGTGATGGTGCCTGAAAGCACCATCACTACTACATGTTAAAGAGACTGAAAGCCCTCAATAAGTGGAATTGTGGCGCTCCGGTAGTGATGGTGCCCAGCAATCATATGATTTCTGGTTCAAATCGCCCGTGCACTGCAATTTGTAAGGCGAGCTCTTGCCAGTAAGTCATAGCCCAAAGGTCGCTTAATATATGCGCTCATGTCAACCTAAATAATTAACCTCCGGGTTTAAAAAATAAAAAAAAATAAGTCTAAGTAAGCTGGACCTGATGAGATTCACCCAATAGTGCTTCTCGAAAGAGCAGAGCTTATTGCAAAACCGATACAAAAGATGTTCGCGAAATCTCTAGAACCTGGCTTGCTGCCAGAGGACAGGAAAAAAAAGCTAGCATCACAGCAATATTTAATAAGTGGGAGACAAGCGCAAATCAGAAAACTACCGACCGTTGAGCCCAACAAGCATTCCTTGTAAAACTTGTGAGACTTTGATTCGAGACATTACACTCGAGCATATGCAGAAAAATTATCTCTTTTCGAATCAACAGTTTGGCTTCATTGCAGGGCGATCAACAACTCTACAACTTTTAAACGTCATGGAAGACTTGACCTCATCACAGGAAATGGGACATTGTATCGATTGCATCTGAACTGATTTCAGGAAGGCATTCGATAAGGTTCCCCTCCGAAGATTGTTAGCGAAGATTTGGAACTACGGTATTCGAGGTAAATTACATGAAATGATTGAAGCACTCCTGACAGGAAGGACTCAACTTGTCGTTGTCAACAACAAGCAGTCAGAACCAGTCCAGGCGACCAGTGGAAACCCTCATGGCAGTGTGTTAGGACCTATTTTGTTCGTCATGTTAACAAATGACCTGCCAGACTTGATAAGATGCACAATTTAGATGTTTTCTGATGACACCAAAGAATACAGCATAGTGAATTCCGCAGAGGATCAAAATCGACATCAAGATGATTCAAAATCAATGGTGGCCTGGAGCGAAAAATGGCAACTTCAGTTTCACACAGACAAAGCCAGAGTAAGGCACAGGGTCAAAGCCAAAATCAAGCAAGCTGAATACAGATTGGGATAGGACATAACAGCCCCAAAAATGAAACTGGCTAAACCCGAAAAAATCCTGGGATTGATCTTTGATTGCGATCTCAAATTCGATGGTCACATCGCTGAGGTGCAAAAACCAAATCACATCCTGGGACTCATTCGTAGGATATTTAACATGTGGGGTGAGTATGCTGCGATTGCTGTTCAACTCACTTGTAGGACCTCATCTGGAGTATGCTTCTTCAGTCTGGAATCCTCAATATATAAAGCTCTCAGCAATGATAGAGAATGTTTAAAGGAGCGCAAAACGGTTGCTGGAAAACATAAGGAATGAGCCATATGAAGAAAGACTACATAAACTACACCTTACCTCGATGACGTTTAAGAGGCTAAGAGGTTACATGATCGAGGTGTTCAAAATTCTGCATCCAACATCAGAATACGACAATCGGGTCTGCAACTCGTTATTGAAAAAATGTCCTTACGAAGCAACACTCGGATATCTAGCAAGCTCACCAACCAGAAGTTCCATCTGAACCGTCGCAAGTTGGCTTTCTCTCAACAAATAGTTAATGCATGGAATGACCTTCCTCACACATTTGTGATAGCAGAAAACGACAACGCCTTCCAAGCACGCCTGGACTCTCACTGGTCGCAGCATCCGTTAAAAGTCAGAAGTGACATCAGATCATGATTTTCATGCTAGAAGAGGGATCCCAGTTCCTTGGAACTTCGGTTTCTGATGGTGCGGGAAATAATGCCCAAATATGTATGAGCATCACTACAAGCGGGAAGAGTTTAAGCCAATTGCTGAGCACGTGCTACAGAAAAATGAATCACGAATGAAACCGAGTGCCCAACAGCCAAGTGACATAAGAAAATGTCAACATAACGAGCTACGAAGAGAGAGGATGACATGCTCACAGAAATTACTTATGATGACCTATGATTCGGTTGCTGCTTTTAAAATCGGTGAAATGGACCCTGAATTCAAACGGGAAAATTGAAAAAAAAACTTCTCATTTATTGCAATATACGAAATAGCATGAATGTGAAAAATTCTTTCGTTAAACGTGCAATAGAATTACGTTGAAAAAAAATCAACTTGACGAGATAGTGAAGCTCGATTTGACACAGAGGCGAAGTTGCACTTCGCATAAACAAGCAAAAATATGATCAATAATGCTACTGAGAAAAACTGAATGAGTAAAACTTTGAGTCTACATAATTTCTTTAGTGGCGCACGCCAATTATGCGTCTACGTAATTGCAAGTGAAGCAAGCCAATTATGACGCATTAGCATTACCACTCAATTTGAAAAAAAAATAATTTACCAACTAACATGCCTCATTTTATAGAGCGGACGCATTTCAACAAGTATATAGGCGATTAAAAACCATGCATCTTCCATGCATTAGCGATATTGCTTTAATTTTAAGAAAAAATCTAATCGCCTAGCCTATTAAAAATATCCCACCCTGCCCAGGTTCGAACCCTCCTTTAATGTTGCGTGTCTCCTTCCCTACCTGTAAGCTACAGAACCATGATAAAATGCTTTTTGTAGTATAATAGTCTGTGTTAATATCCTTAGCATTGGCTGCACTTACTAGCTGGTCATTGATCTTGTGCACATACTGCAATAAAAGAACACTTTCAAAATGAACACTAATATTTGCGACTAAGGTTGGAAAAAAATAGAATTCTTACTATCACACAAGCTTTGATTTTAAAATCGGTGACACAAGCTTTGCTTGTGTAAAAATATAATAGATAGATAGGTTTAATTTTGGATTGTGCCAATTAATTGATAAATGATTTTTAACATTCCAATTATTGCAATTTAATTTTCCGTCGTTTGAGTTTTGACCAGCCGTGGTTGCGACACCAACAACATTGCTTTCAGCAAGGCTTACAGATATCTAGATTATTGATAAATACAGTTAGCACGTTCGTATTTCAATTCATTGCCAGCTCGTATTGTGAATTAAAAAATTCTCTCACGCATGTTGATAGTATGCGTGATCTCCAACTGGATTGTAGAACCTGACTTTCACAGGTCTGACGGATCCGGTTTCTCTCAGAACAAATTCCTCAAACGCGCTCTAAACACACCATACAGATAAATCAGATGAGCATATACTTTCAACAAGGATTTAAAAAAAGTCAGTACTAAGCTTTCAGTGATTCCAAACAAAGCTTCGTCATTTTTATTTTTTCTAGAGGTAAAACGAGAGGGCTCGTTATTCTTCTTGAAAGAGGTTATGAAATTTAACAATAAAACAATTTAAAATGGCAATTCTCATATACTCTCCCAATAAACTAATCCATAGAATATTATACAAACCTCAGTTGCGCCGATCGCCACACCTTTGAACAGAACCGATGTTGTTGACATTTCAAACCTGTCAACATAAATAGAAATATTAGCCCCGTTAGTTAAAAACTTGTGCCAGTCGGTCATATCTGGAAGTTTGACCTTGAGGGACACGAAAATACGTGATTTTGGAGTGAAGTTTTTATTTTTAAAATTTCGAATGGAGCCTGTCATGCTCAGTTTTCTCGCACCAACTGAAAACACAAAAAGTGAGGAATCAGAACGACCGATTTACAATCGCGGGAAAGTGCTTGAATAGAACAGCGGGAAATTGCTATTCGCAATTTCCAGATACAAAATAAGACACGAGTAGAGCTGTCTTATCCCGAAATAGGAGGAGATATAATAAAAAGAAGAGAGAACAAAAATTCGGAACAAACCAGAGTGAACCTTCAATGGAAAGGTGGACAGCTTGAGTGTCCCAATGGTTCACACAAAAACTCCAATTCTAGAGTCAGAACTTACTTCTGTTATCAAAACTGACTAGTATTAAACTTATCTAGTTATATTATCTAATTCTCGAGTTGCTTACCAATTTAATTACTCCCTGTGCTTGAGCGCATCAACATGTGAGTCCCTAATTTAGTTTTCTCGAGTGTGTTTTATGATTGTTATGTTGAGATAAGGCGAGTTTTAGGTTGATCCATCTGAAATGGATCAAAGTTCCACTGTCCAATAAAAAGTAACTTAACGGATTGTTCCGACCCTGTTTTAAACGGCGTTCGTGTATTTTGGGTATTTTGAGACCTAAGTATGGGGACGTTCTCATTTTCTAGAGTGGGGGATATTTTGGTAGTAGCCTTTAAGCTGCAACGGGTTCTAGTCTCATGTCGCAAGCGAACCGAATTGGCTCCGACCGTTCTTGAGGTAGAAAAACACAAGAGATAGTGTCCCTGACTCTTGAGCCAATGGTTATAGGGCCTATTTTTCTTAAGCCTCATATGTGACTGAAGTAGGCGACTGTTACATAGTGTTTTTATGGCGCTCCTGGGTGTTTTTACGACATCATGACTACGGAGTCGAACCCACTTGACACAGCTCCGGGCTGCATGCCCATTCTAGAGTACCGGTGGTACGGTTCAGCGGGAACGTGTAAACCTTCAGGTTGTACCGTGATAGCTTTTTAAGAAAACTTGAGAAAACTTCCTGGTACGCTCTCCGAACGAGGCCTAGCTAACCGAGTAAAGGGGGGCAACTAGGGAAACAAAAACAAGAAAAAAGTATAGAAAAAGGAACAAAAACCATAAAACGAAAAGACAGTGACTTTGATACCGGACCATTTGGATCAAACCTTTATATTAATTAAATAGTATACCCATACTGTTTTATAAGACCGATCGTTTCGATCAATCTAGCAATTTAAACCAGTGACTTCAATAAGGTGCCCGAGTGGGGGGCGTTGTTGAGGGTTTTCAGATAGATTGCAACCGAACCGGACCGCTAGGAGACTTGACTAGAAGAGGTGACCAGCCAAGTGGGAAAGTGGTGCTGCTGTCAAGTGCAGAACAGAGACAACCAGCACAGGATCACTACAAGAGGACCCACAGGGGTGTTCTCAAGTTGGGCAGCGGGTATCGTTAGAATCCACATTACGTTATAGGAGATAAGTGTAAAATTGGATAAGGGGAGCCCCATTGTTTTGAGGAAGTTTTTGCACAAGCAGGCCTGGAAACAGGTCTACGGTTTTCTCTCGAGAGGTTTAGCACCCGGCGCTTAAGGGATTTTTCGGCTTAAGAGGTGGGCTAAAGAGGGGGGAGGTTAGCAGGGGGGCTGGTTATGTTAGAGGTTAGCGGTTGTAAATTGTAAAAAGGGGGGACACGTTAGAGTAACTAATTAGAGCCAAGTGGGAAAGTGGTGCTGCTGTCAAGTGCAGAACAGAGACAACCAGCACAGGATCACTACAAGAGGACGCACAGGGGTGTTCTCAAGTTGGGCAGCGGGTATCGTTAGAATCCACATTACGTTATAGGAGATAAGTGTAAAATTGGATAAGCGGAGCCCCATTGTTTTGAGGAAGTTTTTGCACAAGCAGGCCTGGAAACAGGTCTACGCTTTTCTCTCGAGAGGTTTAGCACCCGGCGCTTAAGGGATTTTTCGGCTTAAGAGGGGGGCTAAAGAGGGGGGAGGTTAGCAGGGGGGCTGGTTAAGTTAGAGGTTAGCAGTTGTAAATTGTAAAAAGGGGGGACACGTTAGAGTAACTAATTGTTCGGCATTGTCGATTTAGTTACATTAGATATTCATACGCGTTGGTTATAAGAAGCGGATATCCAAAATTAAAACCAGGTTAAGGTAGGTACCCTGGTCGGATCGGTAGGGGGGAACGGACATAGAAAGTTTTTGTGATACCCCATAAGATCGCTAGCAGGGGGGAGGAAAACGCGTGGCAATCGGGTACCAGACATTTTTTCGGACAAAGATTGACATTGGTCAACCTTGAATTTCAGGAGAATTCATCCATCTGTTTTTGAAATTTTTCCAGTTTAAATTTTTACGTTTTGGTGAAAATTTGTTGTTGGTATTTTAACGAACAGGTGATCACAAGATACCTGCGGGGAATTTAGGGTTTCAAATACAGGGGGATCAGTATTTGGGTTTTGACAAGTAAGATAGGGATTTTGGGAAAATTTTTACTAGAGCTCAAGTGGTGGTAAAAGGTACAGTGGTTCAACAGTCCCTACAACGAAGAAGAAGAGACACGACATCCAGACACTCAGTGACGAGTCTTGGGACAGTACCGAAGAAGTCTTGGGACATTGCAGTCTGGGGACAGTCTTGGTGCAACACGGTCTTGGGACAGTCTCGGGACAGAGCAGTCTTGGGACAGTCTTGGGACAGTACAGCGTTGGGACAGTCTTGGACCAGAGCAGTCTTGGTACGAAACAGTCTCGGGACAGTGGTCTTGGGACAGTGGTCTTGGGACATTGGTCTTGGGACATTGGTCTTGGGACATTGGTCTTGGGACAGTGGTCTTGGGACATTGGTCTTGGGACAGTGGTCTTGGGACATTGGTCTTGGGCCATTGGTCTTGGGACAGTGGTCTTGGGACATTGGTCTTGGGACATTGGTCTTGGGCCATTGGTCTTGGGACAGTAGTCTTGGGACATTAGTCTTGGGACACTAGTCTTGGGACATTGGTCTTGGGACAGTGGTCTTGGGACATCAGTCTTGGGACACTAGTCTGGGGACATTGGTCTTGGGACATTAGTCTTGGGACACTATCAAGAAGTACTGGGACAACACTGAATAGTCTTGAGACGGTAGAGAGAAAGTCTTGGAACAGCATAAAGAAGGGGGGTACTAAAAGAGTACTAAGTCAGGGTGAAGTAACCAATTGTAAAATCAAATTCTCTATTCAATCCTAACATATAGAATTTTCAAGAGCTTTGGAAAAGTTGTTTTTAACAAATTGTCAATTTCTTTTTATAAAATTTTGTCAAAAGAGGTTTTAACCTTAGAGTAGATTTTTGTAGATAGTAATACTGTAAATAGGAACAATTGTAAATAATGAGGCGGAGCAGGGTACCGGTAGCTGAAAAAAGATCTACCGAGGCGAGAACAAATATAATTCGTCGCTACGTAAAACAACATCAATGGGTCCGAAGGTAACAAAGAAGAACTTTTCAGTTAGTATGGTCAACACGAGGAGTACTACGGAGAACAGAGCAAAGGAGGGCACGGAAGGGGAACGAGTAGAACCAACCATCGAGATTGACCTAGAGACACCGGATCAAAGTGTGGATGAAGTGGGAAAGAAAACGACAGAGTCAACTCCGATGCCCAATGCGGAAGAACCTAATCCGAAGCCCATGGAGTTCTCACCGATAGACAACGTGGAAGACACAACAGGCAACACGCCAGAAACAGTGAAGGATGAGTCTCAGAAGAGAACGTCTTTTACTGAAAGATTAGCGATGATGGTCGGAATGAGATCGAAGGACGCAGCAGTGGAGGAGACGAAAACCGAGAAAGGCAAAACATTCAGAACAGTTTCCACGAGAACGACAGACACCGACCAAAACGGAGACCAGTTCAGACCGGGAACAGCAACCAACAACAGGACAGCAACTGACCATGGAACAGCTACTCTTGAGCTAGGTGATTTGATGGCGAAGCTAGATCAGATAGATGATAAACTGAAGCACAGCGAACGATAGAAATTTGATAAGAAAGGAAATGAGAAACAACAAACATGAGTACCTGGACAACTATTTCCATCTAGCAAGAGCAACGGAGGAAAAGCTTCAGCAGATGTCTGACAAAGTAGAAACCACTGATGGAGAGCGAGACAAGAACATCAGAAAAGACATGCTAGAAATGAAGCAGCGATATGACGCAGCGAATAGCCAGTTGGGAAGTTTGGAAACGGAATGGATACGATGAGTAGGGACCAGGCTGAGAGCTCAAGTGCTATACAGACAAAGTTAGACGCAATCTTGAGGAATTCAACACTACAAGACAGGCCAGCGGCAGAGCGGACACAAGGTAATAGAGTTGACTTCGTGGAACCACAAAGGAACAAGCGACAGTCAACACCGTTACCAGCAAACCGGGAGGCCGCAATTACGGCACCGGTAGGGGCCAGGGCTATTATAAAAAATGGAACAGCGAACACAATTAGTGGTCCAGGAGACTCCACGAGTCAGAACAACGTGGGACCGGATGCGATGACATGAGCAAGCACCTGGAAAATGATGAACAGAACACTAGAGGCCTTCGCTACAAGGAACACCGATTCGAGCGACAGAGAAAGCAACAAGTTCAGAAAAACTTTCAAGAAACCAAAAGAATTCAAAGACGATTCAGATGGATGCATTGACATTTGGGTAGAAGTCATGAGGCTGCACTTGGAACAAGACAATTTGAACGATGAGAGACAAGCATGCACGGCGATACTGAGCAATCTGGAAGGCACAGCATTGAAATGTGTGGTTGCGAAGAAAGAAGAAGAACGCGATACAATTGACAAAATCTTTGAAATATTGTTAAATCGATTCGGCTCAGGCATGAAGGGTCATCAAGCGATGATGCGATTTGAAAAGAGAAGACAAAGGGACGATGAATTGATAGACAGGT